TCGGCCGAAAACCGCGTTTACCACCCCGATGGGGCTGTTCGAGTTTCGAGTGCTGCCGTTCGGAATCACTAACGCGCCTGCGACGTTCCAGCGGTTGATGGAGTTGGTAATGCGGGGCTTACAGTGGGAACAGTGCCTGATTTACCTGGACGACGTGATAGTGTTCAGCAGATCTCTGTCCGAGCACTGGTCCAGGTTGCGAGAGGTGTTCCAGTGACTACGAGCAGTCCATCTCAAGCTCAAGCCGCGTAAGTGCTACATTGCGCAGTGCGAGGTAGGGTACCTCGGACACCGAGTCAGCGAGGCGGGGGTGCGCACCGATCCGGAAAAGGTGCGCGCCGTAGTGGAATGGCCACGGCCCAGGAATCTGACGGAGATCAGGTCATTCTTGGGACTCGCCACCTATTATCGGCGATTTGTTAAGGGATTCAGTGAGATTGCACGCCCCCTCACCCAACTCACCTCCCCTAAGAATCCCTATTGATAGACGGAGGCCTGCCAAACGGCCTTCACCACCCTCAAAGACCACCTCACCCACACCTCTACCCTCGCTTTCCCCGATTTCACCACGGAGTTTATCTTAGACACCGACGCCTGCAGCAGTAGGCTGGGCGCGGTGCTGTCACAGGTGCAGGGTGGGACAGAGCGGGTCATCGCATACGCCAGTCGGACCCTGAGTGGGGCGGAGCTGAATTATTGCGTGACCCGTCAAGAACTGTATGCCGTGGTCTTCGCGTGTAAACAGTTCCGACCGTATTTGTACGGCAGGAAATGTCGGGTACGCACTGATCATTATGCGCTGCAGTTTCTCCTTACATTCAAGGAACCGCGGGGGCAGATGGCCCGGTGGCTGGCGCAGCTGCAGGAGTACGACCTGCAAATAGAGTACCGAGCTGGGCGTACGCACGTAAACGCGGACACGTTTAATAATGAATAATGAACATCAACATTTAACCAATTGTCCATTCCGTGAGGTAGCCTCACTCGCTAGTAACTGCAAGTGAATGAAAAAAATCAACGGACGCTATGCATGCATGACCTAATTTGTTCACGCTCGCTGGTTACTCTTGGAAATCACATTGTTTTACAATCAGTGAGTTTATAAAGGTATTTTATATCGTTGTAGGTTACAATATTGATTAAAATGTTGTAGTAGTTCTTGTATATTTACAGATTCATATAACATGATTATTCACCAATGACTCTCGCGTATGATATAATTTCACACGTTTGTAAATCACCTCACGTACCCCCCCGAGACATTGGCACGTGTTACCCCAGGGGTCCGCGTACCCATGGTTGAGAACCACTGGACTAGAGCAACGTTTTCCGCATGTTGCCTTTGTGTAAAACCACTGGAACATGTACGACACTTGAAAATCAGGAGCTGCGTCGTAGCAGAATATACGTAACAAAACAAGCAAGCAGACAATCAAACGCCTTGGCACGTCCCTCAATATCAAAATAAAAGTATCCCTCACACTTCCCGTCAACCGCAAGTGTTTTGTTATAAGCAGTGTTCATCACTGTTGGCTGCCCTGTGATGGTGGTGGAAATTCCACATTCCTAAAGCGTGGGCCGGCCGGTCTCGCCGCAGGACAACCGCTGCTGACACCCCAAAGATGAGCCCTTATTTTAATAACGCTGGTAGAGTGATAGGGTGCGTCAACTGGCAGCCACTTTGATGGGATGAAATGTTGAAATCAGGATACACTTAGCAAGGTCATTTTGCTTTAACAAATGGGTTGAAACTGAGTGCAGTTCAGCCGCGTGCATGTACAAACAGAACCGCCTCGTAGAATACAATGCAAGCCTCCTTGTTACGAGGGTTGTGTGGATAACAAACATTCTCAACATTAAGGTTCTCATATCCTGCATGGCGGCATTTTCAAGGTTCACTGCGGTATTTGAGAGCCATCGTTGCGTTGTTTAAGGCATTCCAGATTCATCGCTGCAGAAATGCATGAAAATAACACAGAAGCGAAAGTATTTCTTCAAGTATTTTTTTTTCTATTTATGTTTTATAATGTGGCGCTGACATCAGCAGCATACACTGACAAAGTGTGGCAAGTGATACATCTCTCTTACAGGTTGGCAAGTCAATAAACACCAACTCCAAACTACTAACACCAACTCCAAACTACTGACACCAACACCAAACTACTGGCACCAGCTAGTAGCTAATATGCGCGTCCTGACGTTTGTTTTGTTGCCCATAGTGATATGTTGTCGTTAAATTTCCAAAAGTCACTCCACCCCTGAAGCGCACCTCTTAAAAGGTACTGGGAAGTGATTCTGTATTGCGATAATCGTGGTTTCGTAAAAATGTAATCCTTATGTAGTATTGTGAGAAATTACGTATACAGGGTGCTTCAAAAAAAATGTTAACACTTCTGAGAATTTGCAACAACACCACGTGACATGTGCTGCTGCCTCTGGGCTCTGGAGACCACCTGCAGAAGATTCTAGGCACGTGTTGACATCGATGGCGAACAAGTAGAGTCTTTGACTTTTGAAGCTATTAACATTACATTTGTTATCATGTTACAGTGTATTATCCGTTCTTTTCCCATTAAAAATTATAGTTCCATGTAAGTGTTAACATTTTTTGAAGCACCTTGTATGTATAACGTATTCATTGAAACAAAGTTAGTTAGGACAAGGACCCATAATATCTCATAGAGGAGTCATCGCCTACGACAGCTGGCAGTTCACCAGCATGACTTCAAGCACGCCTGACTGCTGATGAGATACCAAATGTCCAAACCCGTCCGGTTTGCCTGTACTGAACCAGTGCTGCTGAAACTGACCTGGATCATTCCAAGGTAAATCTGTTTGCAGATGACACGGTACTGATTACTGCTGGCCGCTCTCCGGATGACGTGAATGCTAAGCTCCAGGGTGATTTCAACAAACTACAACATCAGTTAGTTGCTCTTAAACTAGTCCTGAATACCTCTTCACCAGGACTAAAGCAGGAATAGTTTTTCCACGATTACATTCCTTAAAAAAATATTATCTAGAGCAAGTCAAGATCTATAAGTATCTTGGGGTCATCCGTGATTCAAAACTGAATTTTAAAGATCACATTGATTATATTGGTAAAAAGACAATAAAAATTGGTTTTCTGTATCGACACAAGCACTGCTTCCCCTCTATGTTCCATTTGGAATTGATCAAAGCTACCATACTGCCTCTACTTGATTACTGTGACATCGTATACAAATCAGCCCCAGTACTGTACTGTAAAAGCTTGACTCAATTTATCACTCGGCTTTAAGATTTGCATTGAACTGCCCATATAGGACTCACCACTGTGATCTCTACATTGGGTCAAACTTATCATCTCTTAATGTTCGACGCCTTGTGCATCAAATCATATTTATTCACGATGTACTTACAAAAAAATCAGCAGACTACCTGCTGGATCTCCTCACTGTTTCGAAAAACAAACGTGACCTAAGGTCTTCGCTCATTTACCAGCTTCACATTCCTTATTGCCGTACACATACTGGAAGGAGGGCCTTTGCTATTGATGCCCCCAGGGTCTGGAATGCTATCGCCAATAAACTGCAACTTGGATCACTACCTGTAAGATCTTCACTCAAAACTGCTCTAGAGGAGTTGTACACCCCTAGCTGCCACTGCTATTCAGAATGGCCTGAAATCAAATGTTTCGCTCCGGATGAATGCTGCAAACTATGATCTTGAGTTTTGATTATAGTGTGATCTTTAAAGGTGCATTGAAAATTTTTGATACTACTGATATACCTGCTGTTATGGAGTGACTCATGCAGCCAGCTATGGCTGCAAAGTTTGGTCGTGCATGTTATGTTTATCGTTTATTGTTAAATTTGAATCACAGTTCCTCTGGTCACTGTTACATTGTTTTTATAGCTTTATTTTGGTGATTTCGAAAACGTTTTGGTTTAGCCATATTTGTTTGTTGTAGTACAGAGTTAGACTGATAACTTTAATCTAAATTGTCTTATGGCTGTTATTTTTTGACTTGCATCCCACTGGGATTTTTGCACACAGCATTGATATACGGTGCTTTTTCTGGAAGACTTTGCTGTTATTTCCTGGATTTTTCTGATGCGCATAGTCACGTTAAGATGTTTTCTTGTTCATGTTTTTGTTTGTTGCGGTTGTATAGCTCACAGAGCTATACCTAATAAATAAACGGAACTAAAACTGAAAAAAACTGAACTGAAAGGATGCACCTCCCCCAACCCCCCAAGGAAGATCGTGCGACTGATGGAATGTGTCAAATTGTTTGCGTGGAGGGACAGATTCGTGAAGGAGATGCCGCCGTCCGCTCATCCGATCGGTTCTCAGTGGGAATTAATGAACGGTCACGTGGTCCCCCCCAGTGGGAATGAATGAACCGTCACGTGGTTCTGCCAGTGGGAATGAATGAACCGTCACGTGGTTCCCTTAGTGGGAATGAATGAACCGTCACGTGGTTCCCCCAGTGGGAATGAATGAACGGCGCCGTGATTGGCTATCACGGCGCGGCGAGGAGCTCGCGTGCGATTGGTCGGGGGAGGCTCCGCCCGCAAGCGTCCTAGCTGGAAGAGTCGGAGTGAGAAGGAAGTGGGTCAGCAGCAGTCGCAGCAGCAGCTACAGCAGCAGTAGCAGCAGCTTCTACAGCAGCTTCTGCAGCAGCTACAGCAGCTTCTACAGCAGCAGCAGCTTCTACAGCAGCAGCAGCTTCTACAGCAGCAGCAGCTTCTACAGCAGCAGCAGCTTCTACAGCAGCAGCAGCTTCTACAGCAGCAGCAGCTTCTACAGCAGCAGCAGCTTCTACAGCAGCAGCAGCTTCTACAGCAGCAGCAGCTACAGCAGCAGCAGCAGCTACTACAGCAGCAGCAGCTACTACAGCAGCAGCAGCAGCTACTACAGCAGCAGCAGCTACTACAGCAGCAGCAGCAGCTACTACAGCAGCAGCAGCAGCTACTACAGCAGCAGCAGCAGCTACTACAGCAGCAGCAGCAGCTACTACAGCAGCAGCAGCTACTACAGCAGCAGCAGCTACTACAGCAGCAGCAGCTACTACAGCAGCAGCAGCAGCTACTACAGCAGCAGCAGCAGCTACGACTACAGGAACTACAGAACGTGAGTACAGCAGGGACTACAGCAGGGACAACCAGGACTACAGGGACTACAGCAGGGATAGCAGCTACTACAGCTACGACTACAGGGACTACTACAACAGGGACTACAGCAGGCACTACTATAGGGACTACAGCAGGCACTACGATAGGGACTACAACAGGCACTACGATAGGGACTACAACAGGCACTACTATAGGGACTACAACAGGCACTACTATAGGGACTACAGCAGGCACTACAGCACTGACTACAACAGGCACTACTATAGGGACTACAGCAGGCACTACTATAGGGACTACAGCAGGCACTACTATAGGGACTACAGCAGGCACTACTATAGGGACTACAACAGGCACTACTATAGGGACTACAACAGACACTACTATAGGGACTACAGCAGGCACTACTATAGGGACTACAACAGGCACTACTATAGGGACTACAGCAGGCACTACTATAGGGACTACAACAGGCACTACTATAGGGACTACAGCAGGCACTACTATAGGGACTACAACAGGCACTACAGCACTGACTACAACAGGCACTACTATAGGGACTACAGCAGGCACTACTATACGGACTACAGCAGGCACTACTATAGGGACTACAACAGGCACTACTATAGGGACTACAACAGACACTACTATAGGGACTACAACAGGCACTACTATAGGGACTACAACAGGCACTACTATAGGGACTACAACAGACACTACTATAGGGACTACAGCAGGCACTACTATAGGGACTACAACAGGCACTACTATAGGGACTACAACAGACACTACTATAGGGACTACAGCAGGCACTACTATAGGGACTACAACAGGCACTACTATAGGGACTACAACAGGCACTACTATAGGGACTACAGCAGACACTACTATAGGGACTACAACAGACACTACTATAGGGACTACAACAGGCACTACTATAGGGACTACAGCAGGCATTACTATAGGGACTACAACAGGCACTACTATAGGGACTACAACAGGCACTACATCACTGACTACAACAGACACTACTATAGGGACTACAGCAGGCACTACAGCACTGACTATAGCAGGCACTACGATAGGGACTACAACAGGCACTACAGCACTGACTACTACAGGCACTACGACAGGGACTACAGCAGGCACTACTATAGGGACTACAACAGGCACTACTATAGGGACTACAACAGACACTACTATAGGGACTACAGCAGACACTACTATAGGGACTACAACAGACACTACTATAGGGACTACAACAGGCACTACTATAGGGACTACAACAGACACTACTATAGGGACTACAACAGGCACTACTATAGGGACTACAACAGACACTACTATAGGGACTACAACAGACACTACTATAGGGACTACAGCAGGCACTACTATAGGGACTACAACAGGCACTACAGCACTGACTACAACAGGCACTACTATAGGGACTACAGCAGGCACTACTATACGGACTACAGCAGGCACTACTATAGGGACTACAACAGGCACTACTATAGGGACTACAACAGACACTACTATAGGGACTACAACAGGCACTACTATAGGGACTACAACAGGCACTACTATAGGGACTACAACAGACACTACTATAGGGACTACAGCAGGCACTACTATAGGGACTACAACAGGCACTACTATAGGGACTACAACAGACACTACTATAGGGACTACAGCAGGCACTACTATAGGGACTACAACAGGCACTACTATAGGGACTACAACAGGCACTACTATAGGGACTACAGCAGACACTACTATAGGGACTACAACAGACACTACTATAGGGACTACAACAGGCACTACTATAGGGACTACAGCAGGCATTACTATAGGGACTACAACAGGCACTACTATAGGGACTACAACAGGCACTACATCACTGACTACAACAGACACTACTATAGGGACTACAGCAGGCACTACAGCACTGACTATAGCAGGCACTACGATAGGGACTACAACAGGCACTACAGCACTGACTACTACAGGCACTACGACAGGGACTACAGCAGGCACTACTATAGGGACTACAACAGGCACTACTATAGGGACTACAACAGACACTACTATAGGGACTACAGCAGACACTACTATAGGGACTACAACAGACACTACTATAGGGACTACAACAGGCACTACTATAGGGACTACAACAGACACTACTATAGGGACTACAACAGGCACTACTATAGGGACTACAACAGACACTACTATAGGGACTACAACAGACACTACTATAGGGACTACAACAGACACTACTATAGGGACTACAACAGGCACTACTATAGGGACTACAGCAGGCACTGCTATAGGGACTACAGCAGGCACTACTATAGGGACTACAACAGGCACTACTATAGGGACTACAGCAGGCACTACTATAGGGACTACAACAGACACTACTATAGGGACTACAACAGACACTACTATAGGGACTACAGCAGGCACTACTATAGGGACTACAGCAGGCACTACTATAGGGACTACAGCAGGCACTACTATAGGGACTACAACAGACACTACTATAGGGACTACAGCAGGCACTACTATAGGGACTACAGCAGGCACTACTATAGGGACTACAGCAGGCACTACAGCACTGACTACAACAGGCACTACTATAGGGACTACAGCAGGCACTACAGCACTGACTACAACAGGCACTACTATAGGGACTACAGCAGGCACTACTATAGGGACTACAACAGGCACTACAGCAGGGACTACAGCAGGCACTACAGCAGGGACTACAGCAGGCACTACTGCATGGACTACAGCACGCGATTGAGTACAGCAGCAGCTACTACAGCTCCTACTATAGGGACTACAGCAGGGACTACAGGGACAGCACGCGAGTGAGTACAGCAGCAGCAGGTCGTCACCACAGGCACGGCATTGGAGACGAGAGCAGCTCCAGGCATAGCAGGAATCACAGAGACGACCGACTGACTCAGCGTGGACTACAGCAGAGTACAGCAGCTATGTCAGAGACTACAGCCACTACAGGTACAGCAGGGACTACAGGCACAGCAGCAGTGAGTACCTGTACAGCTACTACAGCTACAGCAGGGACTACAGGCACAGCAGCTGTGAGTACACCTGTCCAGCTACTACAGGTACAGCAGATATTACAGGCACAGCAGCTGAGTACACCTGTACAGCTGCTACAGGTACAGCAGGGACTACAGGCACAGCAGCTGTGAGTACTCCTGTACAGCTACTACAGCTACAGCAGGGACTACAGGCACAACCGCTGTGAGTACACCTGTACAGACACTACAGGTACAGCAGGGACTACAGGCACAGCAGCTGTGAGTACACCTGTACAGCTACTACAGCTACAGCAGAGACTACAGGCACAGCAGCTGCGAGTATACCTGTACAGCTACTACAGCTACAGCAGGGACTACAGGCACAGCAGCTGCAAGTACACCTGTACAGCTACTACAGCTACAGCAGGGACTACAAGCACAACAGCTGTGAGTACACCTGTACAGCTACTACAGCTACAGCAGGGACTACAGGCACAGCAGCTGTGAGTACACCTGTACAGCTACTACAGGTACAGCAGGGACTACAGGCACAGCAGCTGTGAGTACACCTGTACAGCTACTACAGCTACAGCAGGGACTACAGGCACAGAAGCTGTGAGTACACATGTACAGCTACTACCGGTACAGCAGGGACTACAGGCACAGCAGCTGTGAGTACCTATACAGCTACTACAGGTACAGCAGGGACTACAGGCACAGCAGCTGTGAGTACACCTGTACAGCTACTACAGCTACAGCAGGGACTACAGGCACAACAGCTGTGAGTATACCTGTACAGCTACTATAGGTACAGCAGGGACTACAGGTACAGCAGCTATGAGTACACCTGTACAGCTACTACAGGTACAGCAGGAACTACAGGCACAACAGCCGTGAGTACACCTGTACAGCTACTACAGCTACAGCAGGGACTACAGGCACAACATCTGTGAGTACACCTTTACAGCTACTACAGCTACAGCAGGGACTACAGCTACAGCAGCTGTGAGTACACCTGTACAGCTACTACAGCTACAGCAGGGACTACAGGCACAGCAGCTGTGAGTACACCTGTACAGCTACTACAGCTACAGCAGGGACTACAGGCACAGCAGCTGTGAGTACACCTGTACAGCTACTACAGCTACAGCAGGGACTACAGCTACAGCAGCAGTGAGTATACCTATACAGCTACTACAGCTACAGCAGGGACTAGGGGCATAGCAGCTGTGAGTACCTGTACAGCTACTACAGGTACAGCAGCAGTGAGTATACCTGTACATACACTACAGCTACAGCAGGAACTACAGGCACAGAAGCTACTACAGGCACATCAGCTGAGTACAGCAGCCACTACAGGGCTACACCTGAGTGAGTACAGAAGCGACAGCAGGCACAGCAGCTGAGTAACAGCACAGCAGCTGTGTGAGTACAGCAGGCACTGGTGAGACTCAGCCACAGCAGCTGAGTACAGCAGAGTCTACAGCTGCATGGGGACACAGCGTGGACTACAGCCTGTGTAGGTGATTAGAGCGTCCACGTTTACTGCCGCGTCTCCAGATTGTAGGAGACTGCTGGAAACCTTTGACCCTCCTCAGTCTGAACCTGCGAGCGACTGACTCCTGTCACCGACAGCCAGAATCCTCGCCTGACTAAATAGTCTGTGGTGTGTGCCCGCCTGCCCTCCTGAGCCACCAACCACCGTCTGAATGACTGCGCGAGTGACCCACTGTGTGAGCCGTTGCGTGAACGGCTCACCCTGTGCACCCCCCTCTGATTGATGCGATTCCATGACGTGTATAAACCCGACCGCCGACTGTTTGAACGTGTGCCCTGGCCACCGTGTGAGGCTGCCTCTTGCTGTGGGCCACCCCATTGTCACCGCCATCACCAACTCTTAGCTGTCCAAACCCCTTATCGGTCCCCTACCTTATTACAGACCAATTCCAGACCTTATTGGTCACCCCGTGCCCCTTATAAATCTCAACGTTCATCCTACAAAGTCCCATCACAAGGGAGAGAAACGCAGCAGAATAGACAATTTGTTTCGCCCGTATTGAAACGGCTGTACGCCGCATCGACCTGAAAACTCAATTGGGTTGACAGCTGTGCCATCTGCACCTCCCCCTCCCCTCGTGTGCTGTGCAGGACCCAAAGAGCCATGGACCCCAGCTCTCTGTCCCAGGAGCCCGGGCTCGCCCAGCGCCACCTCTCGCTGAGTCTGCGCGTCGACTTCTCCTCGCACGTCCTGCGTGGGGTCGCCTCTCTGCGCCTGCTCGCCCTGAGTTCCGCCACCTCGCTGGTGGGTGACGAGGCCGCAGGGAGTGCGATTGAGGCCGTGCAACCCACACCGTGGGCCACGCGGTATACGACCGTCGCACATAGCAGTAGGGCTTTCGCGGCCAATATTATCCATAATTTAAGACTGTTTTGGGTTAGATCGCGGAAATATAAATGCGTCGTTAAACCCGCCACCACCCCGACACAAGCAATTTAGTAAGTATATAGCACTGTAGTCTGCTGAAGCCCTCTCGCCGTGGCGAGCAGACCTCGACATTGCCTCCTGAACATATTGCCGTGTATGTATGGAGTACAACGGATTGTGCTTAGTCCTGCCTCCCCCTTTTTTGAATTCGCGCTAGACGGCACAGTGAAACCTGTAGGTCTGGGCGCGGGAGTTCATTCTGCTTCAGAGCCGTCACAGGCTGAGATTCGAGTTTTGAGATCGGTCCTGGCCAAGCCAAAGGCGGGGAGGGGAGGGGGGGCACACCCCCGATAAAGGCAGCTCAGTTGACCGCCACAGGGCGCGGCAGGAAGAGCCGAAGCAGCGCCAGGACGAGCAGCAGGAGCGGAACCAGCAGCAGCACCAGAAGAAACGTGTGCACGTGTGTGTGTGCAGAGCCTGCGGTTGTCTGTTGAAAATCTTTTGTATCGTACGTAGCCAACCATGCCAATCGGAGGTGCAGGGAAGGACAACAAACTAAACACACCAAGCAGTTGTAAAGAAATTAGTTTTCAATCTAGCTTTAAAAATGCATAGCTATCGTGGCTTCCTAATATCGGAAGGAAGAGCATTCCAGACGGCTGCAGAAGCGCATCTGAAATTAATGCAGTGACCGTTTTTGTTCGATGGCTCGCAAAAAGCCGCTGCTGCGAGGATGACCGGAGTTCGCGTGATGGTTTATGCTCCTTGACGAGATCGGCAAGGTATTGTGGTTCATTTGTGGCAAGCACTTTGTGTGTAATGAGTGTGAGCTTATAATGTATTCGTTCGGCAACTGGAACAATTAAATATAACTGGTGGGTTCTGGTGGCCACTGGGGCAGCCGTTAGACCCACAGCTGAGCCTGTAAACCGAGAGGGACACCAACATTGTGCGAGCAGGCGCCGGGTCCATGGTGCTGGGTCGATGGTGGCACCACGCCTGCAATCCAGCACTTTGGAGACGCTGGGTTCAAAGGTCGTGCTGATCCCACCGTGTGCCTTGATCCTACCTACCCTGCTGGGCTGTGAGGTGGTCGGGAGAAAAAGGTCTTAATAGCGCATCGGATTCCTCCAGTTTAAATAACGATTCTGAATCTGGAAGTAAAGCAAGCCAGTTTGTGTCTGGATTGTGTCGATTTTCTCAGTGTTTTTTCCCTTTTTACACATGGCTTTGCTCGAGGTCATTTCACTTTCTTACATGTGTAACGTACTGCATATATTAAGGAATTGGTCAGATATCATTGTAATACAGGGACACCCATTACGCTCACAATTGTGAATAAATAATTTAGTCAAGTGATGCGTTGGTTTGTGCACTGGACTTAAAATCAGTGGGTTGCGAATTGTTCCAGTTGAGGGTTTACCGAGCTTACCATCTGAGTGGGATCGATGGAATGAGTGCCACGCTTTGCAAATTATTTATCATCATTATATAGAGAGACTGACCCCATCACAGAAATGACTATCATTTATTGTTTAGGGTTAGAATTCCTGCCTCAGGGCGGGTGCCCGTTTGTGGGTGACCTGCACCTCCATTTAGCACGGTTTGGCTACGTACGGTGCGAAAGAAGTTCAACATACTGAACGCGCAAAGAGGGTCAGAGCGCAAAGTGGATCGAAGCTCGGCTGTTCACGGCTTGCCTCGCGGGTGCATGTCGGCTCATGCTCATCGATGGGGACGCATCCCCATCGTGTCCCACCCTCACCCATTGGGCGAGCTCTAAACACCAGGTACTTCCCGAATGGCTTTACAGATCACGTTTCGTTACCCAATGCAGGACTCTGCTAAAGGAGGGCGAACGCACAATATGGGTTCCCAAACACCGCCGTTCACCACTCCCCCCAGCCACCGTCACTTTAAATTCGGAAATTCGTTATTTGAACTCGACAGAGGTGTGCTTCTGATGATCGGTAGGAATAAAGTTTGGTGAACACTAATTTGTGGAGGAGTAGTGTAGAGACACGATTTTTGTTTTATGAATTTTGCTTACACGTCCACCTAGAAACTTGGTGGCCCTATGTTGCATACTACTTGATGTAGATTTTCACTTTAATTTCCACGAAAATAATAACATATCATGCAAACATAGGCGTAAATCATTCACGTTATGTAGGTCGGGTAGGGTTGTGGGTCGAATGAGGTATGGGGGCTGTATTGAACCGGGTTTCAGATTCAAAACAAAGATGTCCTGCGCGGCTGACCCACAAAGAACGTGACCCGACCTGCACTTGACCCGCAAACCCTAACAATGAGTTTATTCCGACCGGAACCGCCCTGCTCTGCAGGTCACCCGCCGGTTTCCGAGCCGGCGCCGGACTCGTCTGCGAGACTCCGAAGCGTGTTTCCGCGTCATAAGGAGTGTTCGGCACGATGTCCAACGTTTCGCTCCACGTGCAGGGAGCTTCTTCCGGAACAGGATGTTCAGTTCAGTAACTGAACAACGTGCCGAAGAAACAAAAACACCCTTCGGTTCCAAAAGAAGCTCCCAGCACGCGCAGGAGGAGGAAGAGAAGCGTGGTCATCGTGCCGGACATCGCGCAGTGCAAACAAAACGCACCCGAGAGTTCACGGGATAGCGTGGTGTATGCAGGCGCCTGTGCGCTCTAAGCACGTGTAAAGTGCCACTTCATGTAGGATGTTAAGGAGTGCAATGTTTCGGTTGTCGGTCATGGACACCGAGTGAAGCAACAACGGAAGCCGTTTCACGGTGACGTCTTCATGGCAGGTTTCTGAATGTGATATGGACCAGTGCGGAAACTATCACCACCAAGACTTTAGTAGAACCCATTCTATATACAGTAGATCATCGATTATTCGGTGGGGAGGGGACACCGGATTTCAGAAAACTCCAGATAAACACTAATAATCATCATTGAAAATTGCTTATTTTTGCACATTATTGTATGACATTATCTTCGTAGGTGTTTTATGGGTTTTGTGTTTTTTAATTTGTTTAGGCTATGAAATTGATGACTGTCATTTATTGTTTGGGGTTAGAATTCCTGCATCAGGGTGGGTACCCGTTTGTGGGTGACCTGCACCTCCATTTAGCACGGTTTGGCTACGTACGGTGCGAAAGAAGTTCAACATACTGAACGTGCAAAGAGGGTCAGAGCGCAAAGTGGATCGAAGCTCGGCTGTTCACGGCTTGCCTCGCGGGTGCATGTCGGCTCATGCTCATCGATGGGGACGCGTCCCCATCGTGTCCCACCCTCACCCATTGGGCGAGCTCTGAACACCAGGTACTTCCCGAACGGCTTTACAGATCACGTTACGTTACCCAATGCGGGACTCTGCTAAAGGAGGGCGAACGCACACTATGGGTTCCCAAACACCGTCGTTCACCGCTCCCCCCGACCACCGTCACTTTGAATTCGGAAATTCGTTATTTGAACTCGACAGAGGTGTGCTTCTGATGATCGGTAGGAATAAAGTTTGGTGAACACTAATTTTTGGAGGAGTAGTGTAGAGACACGATTTTTATTTTATGAATTTTGCTTACACGTCCACCTAGAAACTGGGTGGCCCTATGTTGCATACTACTTGAGATGTAGATTTTCACTTTAATTTCCACGAAAATAATAATATATCATGCAAACAGACGTAAATCATTCACGTTATGTAGGTAGGGTAGGGTTGTGGGTCGAATGAAAGCGGGTTGCGGGTATGGGGGCTGTATTGAACCGGGTTGCAGATTCAAAACAAAGATGTCCTGCGCGGCTGACCTGCAAAGAACGTGACCCGACCTGCACTTGACCCGCAAGCCCTAGCAACGAGTTTATTCCGACCGGAACCGCCCTGCTCTGCAGGTCACCCGCCGGTTTCCGGGCCGGCGCCGGACCCCACTGCGATACTCCTAAGTGTGTTTCCACGTCGTACGGAGTGTTCGGCACGATGTCCAACGTTTCGCTCCACGTGCAGGGAGCTTCTTCCGGAACAGGATGTTCAGTTCAGTAACTGAACAACGTGCCGAAGAAACAAAAACAGCCTTCGGTTCCAAAAGAAGCTCCCAGCACGCGCAGGAGGAGGAAGAGAAGCGTGGTCATCGTGCCGGACATCGCGCAGTGCAAACAAAACGCACCCGAGAGTTCACGGGATAGCGTGGTGTATGCAGGCGGCTGTGCGCTCTAAGCACGTGTAAAGTGCCACTTCATGTAGGATGTTAAGGAGTGCAATGTTTCGGTTGTCGGTCATGGACACTGAGTGAAGCAACAACGGAAGCCGTTTCACGGTGACGTCTTCATGGCAGGTTTCTGGGTGTGATATGGACCAGTGCGGAAACTATCACCGCCAAGACTTTAGTAGAACCCATTCTATATACAGTAGATCATCGATTATTCGGCGGGGAGGGGACACCGGATTTCACAAAACTCCAGATAAACACTAATTATCATCATCATCGAAAATTGCTTATTTTTGCACATTATTGTATGACATTATCTTCGTAGGTGTTTTATGTGTTTCGTGTTTTAAAATTTGTTTAGGCTATGAAATTTATATAAACATACAAATAGACAAAGATACATATCCTACTTAAAAAAGTTATTATTTACTGTACCATACTTATCACTTCAATCTCGAAGACTCTGCATGGGGTGATGTACATACGTGCAATATTTTCATTGTTTAAGTTATTGTATTTTGTGTATAATGTACCTTATATAATATTTGACACTGGAATGAAGCCGAGCTACTATGTTGTTGTCACGCATACGGTGCCGATCGCCAGACTGGTTACAGCCTTTGGATCGTTTTTTCCGGTACTGCCGGATCGGCCCAGTACTGCCGGATAATGTTGGAAGCCAGATAATCGCTCACCGGATAATTATCGATGATCAACTATATATATGTATTTCTAATCAGAGTGAATTATTTGACAAGTGGCTATTGCACAATTCACTGTTATTGCTCACACAGAGAAATTGTAACCGCTAAAGATGTGCCACCTCGGGTGTAACGGACAAGTGAAATATCTGGTTTGGGCCCATGGGCTATACGAGACTTTTTAGCATGGGGAGCTCATGGAATGGGCCCTGCTTTGTGTTCTACCCCTGATAAGTGGGATGTGCAGTCAAAAACAATGCACTAATCATCTGTACGAGATGCTCAACTCCGCTGCTGGCCCTGTGGACAGTGGTCGAATTTCCAATTTTTTTTTTGGTGGGGACCAGTCGTCCCAAAAAGAGACCTCAGAATCAAAATCAGAATCTTTATTCGGACTGGAGCAATCCCATGGGCTACGAAGCTTTTTTGCGCAGACGTCCAGTAGTTTTTACACATGCCCAGCAGACCTAATGTTCACATCCCACCAATTGATGTGCCATCTATTGATCCCCCGAACAAAGTGATGGGCAAGGTTGCGGCCCCCAACCAATATTTGAGCCTGCAGACGGAATCAGAAATCTGAATCTTTATTTGGGCTACAGGAGGAATCCAATGAGCTATGAAGCTCTTTTTGACAGATGTCCAGTATAGGCGGGTCAGGAAGTTACAACAAGAGGAAACGATACATAAAAAAGCACGCTAATGGAAAGCAAAATAGATACAAATGTAAGCAAGTCACGATAAATAAATAAGCAAATGTCTGCCAGCGGTGGCTGTTGGTCACATCTCTACAATGTTATAGTAAATTGAGTAAAATGTCTCTGAGCATGCCTCACGACCGATACAGTACATTGCAGGTAATTACTGTCCTTAATTGACTTTTGCGTTGAAGCGTAATGGACCTTGAGGCGACGTGGAAAAGTTGCACTTTTGCAGAGTTCTGCTGGTTTACACCTCCGGAGAAAGTCCACAACGCAGGAATCAAGTGTCAGCAAAGCGATAACCCGCCTGAACGATAAACCTCAAACTTACATTCTCTGCAATCTCTTGTAACTGCTTTGCAAAGATAAACGACTCTGCTAAACGTGCCATCCAAGCCAAAGTCTATGAAATACCCCTACTCATCAGCAGCCAGTGTTAATCATGGTTGGTCAGCAAAAATGTGTTTTTTTTTTTCCGTGGGACTGAATGTAAGAAGGTGCAAAGCTGTTTTTTTAGCAAGACGAATAGGATGGACTCGAAATTTGGCTCACATTTGGATGAATTTGACTACATTTGGGCAAAGGAATTCCAGTGGGGATGGCCATCAAGTGACTCGCTGGAGATATGCATAATTCATTTAGAAACATCGCTTTGGCTCTCTCTCAACTCTTTTGGATGGAGGGAAAGGGTAATTTGCTGTGTTCCCTCAATGAATGGCCTTCATTGGCCCTCTGAGCTACTCAATACGAGTCCCCATGGCCATTGCCCTTCAACTTAAAAAAAAACATTGCCATGCCCTTGTTCTTGTAAAGAAATAACCGATCATGTGTACATAGTTTGTCCGGTATTAGAGTACTTTATATTTCCTGATACAGTTCAGTGTTTCAGTGTCATGATACATAAGTCCTCAGTTGGAGCATTGAGTTCATGATGTGTGTCAGTGACGGGCTTTGGTAGGAGAATGTTGGTAACGTGTTGGTGGAGTTCATGTGTAAAAAGGCCTGTGTAAGAGGCCTCGTCTAGATTCATGTAGAACAGTGACACAGCTAGTTCAGGGGGCTAATTCCTGTGTTTGGGATCACACGAACGACTGAGATGCTGTCTTCGAAACAGCATGGTCACATTGAAAGCAGGCTCTCACCATACTCTTGGTTCTTTCGGTAAAGTCACGTAGGTATAAAAATAAAATAAATCACGACGTTTCGGGCGCAACACAAGCGTCCGTCATCATTGCTTTCCCACCTGATCATCATTGCTTTCCCACCTGATGATGGACGCTTGTGTTGCGCCTGAAACGTCGTGATTTTTTTTCTACCTACGTGACTTTACCGAAAGAACCAAGAGTATGGATTCCTGCAGTCACGAAAGCTTCAAATCAAGATTCCGGTTCTCACCTTTAACACATTTGATGGTATTCATATTCTTGGTTCTTTCGGTAAAGTCACGTAGAAGGGAAACATTAAAATAATAAAAATATAAAACAATAAAATTCTCACGACGTTTCGACTGCAACACAAGCAATCATCATCAGATGTGAAAACCACAACAAGAAAATTTGAAAAAAAGTGGCGGTTATTTTTAACGTTAGCACCACGGAGAGAGATTTGATGGCCTCATCATAATTAGCAAACAACGACAGACACAATAGACCAAGCTAATAAATGATTAAACATTTTTTTTACTTAACTTGGCCGAGCCCCGCTCCGGAGCCTAATGTGAATAAACATTTTCCAAGATTGATGTGTGGCAAAGCACTTGTTATTTCAGCATGTAATAATCAATCATGTCATGCATTAAAATAGATTGTTATGCCGAAAAGAAATGCATTACGTTTTCCATGTACAGAATTGATTAAAGAATGCATGATTTAATCACATTATATATAAATATAATTTTACATTTAGGCTCGTGGAGCACACGAAACGATGCAAGAGGTACAGCTTGAGGAAGCAATATCAGTGAGATGGTTAAACTGAGAAAAAAAATAAACGGTTCTTGAATCGATCATGGCTTTCGATCGTACAAAAATAACTGAATTGTCTGGGATGTGAATCGTGACATTTCTGTGTTGTATGCAGCATGCAGGAGCTCTCCGGGAAACAATTCTGCCGTGCGATAACGATTTTCCTAATTAAAGCAACCCACATCTCTATACCCAAACCAGCTTGAGCCCCCCGCAAGTCATGTGACATCTGTGTGGCCACACCCACTCTGAACCTCTTTCCTTGCCGCCCCCTGTGAAAGCAGACACTGATCTGTGTAGCTCACTCCTGCTCGCTCCTTCCTTCTCTCCCTTCCCCTCGCATCCTCACCACCCTCTCATCCCCAACATCTTGGCACGGTCATTTCTTCTCTCCTCCCCTTCCTGCTCGACGCTCCTCCTTTCCTCCTGCTGCTCATCGTGAGTCATGCTCTCTTTGTCCATCGTGAAGACTTCCGTCCCGGCCTCCCTACCCTTTCTCATTCATTTGTATAGTTCCATTCGTCATGTCCTTGCCTGCACTCCCATTCATGTGGTGGTGGCGCCATGCGTAAAGGGTTTTATAATGTACTACACGACATCTATTGATCCTTGTGCAAAAATTAGGAATGGTCACCATTTATTCGTGTTCACATTTGTAATTGGTTCACCGCAGTAACACATTGCTGGAATTTACAACGGTCGATAGTGTTTAGATTTTCAGGACGAGGTTGGAACTTTGCGTGAAAGTGGAGTGTGCAGTAATTACGTAAATACTCCCTTTAATTTGTCATCATCAGCATACTTTCACGAACCATGCAGTTACGCCGTACTGAAATAATGCTTGTACAGCGCACCATTGTTACGGTGATCCACAGGCTTTCACTTTTTTCTTCTGCACTATACGTTGTAGATTGTTGCAAAGTGTCTCATGTTGGCGCTGCGGAGTAAGCCAGGGTGTGATGTTTTTGGCATTCGGCCGCCCAACCTCGGGGTCCAAGGTCCCTCATTGTGCACGCGTTTGTGAACGCTATCGCGATTGTGAAGCACCTTCAGCGTAATGTGTAGGCTTTCGCAACCAACATCATCAATAATGGATGTTTTTTTAGTTAGATCTGGTAAATATAAATGTGTTGAACACGCCACCATCCGATACAGCCAATTATTAATGTTTGTCACGTAAACAGAACATGCCAATTCATTACTAGTTCAGCACATCGGTGCGTTGGGAGCGTAAACCCACAACATTTACCATTTGAGTACGACGTTTTTCCGGTGATACAACCTGCCTCATAAGGCGACAGCCAGAGATGCTACCTCACCATGCACTGTGCACACAAATGTGCTCTCTGGTTGTCAGGGCTGGTCCTGTGCAAAATCCACAGGTCCCTGTCGCCCAGCTGTAAGAGTAGACTGACTGGAGGATGAAGGTCGATTCACAACATTGTCAGATTGGAGGTACGGTGGGGGCATTTCCATTTCAGACAATTCTTTTGGACTGTGGCACAGTCGCAGAACGCTGAACTTGCGATCGGGACGTTTGTGAGTTCAAATTTTGACGAGGTGTTTGCTTAGCCTCCAAGCCTTTCCTGGGCTATTGAAATAAGTGCCTTTACGTGCCATTCCAACGTGAAGTTTCTATGGACGGGCACCTGCCGTGGCAATGTGCAATTTCCACCACTGGAGAAGATCATCACCCCCCGTTTGCTCATTTGAACAGGAAGATGAGTTTAAAATTCAGGCCTCAAGATGGTCACGATACATTTGTTTACGTGTGAAACATTTAGGAACGTTTTGGGGCCACACAGAACAAAACAACCCATCCTCTGATCGAACCGTACCATTACGTCGCTGCTCTCCCCATCCCTGCCGAACCCATACGGTTTACCGCGTATTCTTGCACAATCAGATCGTACAGCCGTTTCAATACGGGCAGAAAAACTGTCTATTTGTCTGTGTTTCTCCCTTTGCGATGGGGCTTTGTAGGATGAATGCTGAGATTTATAAGGGCACGGGGTGACCAATTAAGTCTGAATTGGTCTGTCACAAGGTAGGCACTGATTAGGGGTTGGCAGGTCTGTCTCCCAGTGACTCGCGTCACGGTTTCACTTTTGCGTGCGGCCCCTCGCCACTGCAGGTGCTGGACACGCGTGACCTGAAGATCCTCAAGGTGACGTCCAGCAATGGCCCCGCGACCTTTGCCGTGGGAGCGGCGCACAAGACGCTGGGCTCGGCGCTCGAGATCACGCTCCCTTCGCCCGTGGAGAAGTAAGCGTGCGACGGTGACGCGTGACGTGCTGGGTACGAGGGGAGGACGAGAACCGATGGTCACAGTCGTGCCTTTTTTGCGGTCTAGAAATTACTTTTTGCGTTTTTGAACTTCTGGAATAAGGCGCGATAGAGATCTACGTAAGATAATGTATGTTGAACTTATATCGCACCGTACCGAGCCAACCGTGCTCATCGGAGGTGCGCGGGATAGACAACAAACTAAACAAAGAAAGCAGTTCTAAAGAAATACACAAATATTTTTTCCTATAGTTATTATGCTTCTTACCTGAAAAGTAAGTGAGCTGCCCAATTGCACTCACTGGCCAGGTTTTGCAGAACAGGCGTTCGGGCCTGTGCTTGTGAGCAACTCAAGTGTATTTTATGTACAACGAGGGCAGTAAACATCCAAAGGTTACAAATCTGAAACGTTTTGGAAATCTGCACTGACAGTGCCCTTCTCAGGATGGCCACAGTGGAGGGCACGATGGCCCTAGAGTGAAGGTGAGATGAGCTCATCATGGCCATTGGAGTCAACCACAACACCTGCACCATCACTGCCTTCCCAGAGTTCCAATAGTTGTTGTGAAGTTGACACCCCGACTGTCAAGCATTGTTCTTGAGCATAATGTTGGCAGTAAACCCATTCACTGGGACGCTCATTAAAACGCATCCCTCCAGAGCAGTGGTTCTTAACCTGCGGTGCACGCTGCACCGCCTGGGAGTGTGAGATGCCCTTCATGGGGGTGCGAGACATGGTCAGATTTTCTTAGAAGGTAAATAATCGAAAACACAAATTTAGCACGGGCACGTAAGTACAACTGCTTTGTTTCATCAAATCTGTGTATTTATTAACATTATACATGTTTTTACCTTTGAAAGCCAAAGGGATGCAGACTGCAGAACTCCCCTTTTTAAGTACGGTAATGGGCATCTTCAGTCATTTGGTAACCACTTTGTGGTTCATACTGGTTTGATTATTTTATTGCAGCTCCCCCAGTTAATAGAGGTCATCCTATGGATTGGCCTGCCCCCATTTTAAGTAGAATTGCCGTGACTGGTTCAGGGCAGCGAACAAAGGTGCAGAGCAACACGACTTCCAGCATGACGATATGTTGCATAGGGCCTCACAGCTGGATACAACGACACTTTCATCTCGTTGGACATTCTGCGCCCTCATTGTTCACCAGATTGGGGTGCCATGCACAAACCCCCGGGCAGCCGTAATCATGCTGCCTCCAGAATGGATAGCTTCTGACATGACGACTCTACGGAGTGGCTGGCTAACGTGTGGCGGGACAGAGCTGCGTTCTGACACACCGCAAGCGTCGCGTCTCGATGCGTCTCACGGAGTTTGAGTGATGCGGGAGTCCTTCAGCCGGCCAGGAGAGGGCAGTGCAAGCTCATGGTGGGGTGACATCAATGCAGTGTTCATTTAAATTAAATGAGATACTATTTTTATTTCACCGGGTAAGGCCCACTGAGCTATGCAGCTCTTTGTCACAAGCGACCTGGCCACCAACGGGAGCTCAACGAAGTGGCTTATCACGTGGAAAGTTATGGGAGCCAAATACTCTTAAGCGCATGTTTCTAAATGTGAGGGAAAAACTGGAGGACCCAGATAAAAATGCACTCGACCACGGGGAGAACATGCAAATACCAAATATACAGGTGTTAGGGTTGGGATCGAACCCACGACCTCATGTTTACCAGGCGAGGGACTTAGCATCTTGCCACTGTGGCGCCCGCGGGCCCCTGGCGGCCCCTGGTGGACTTTAGTGCGGCCCCTGACGTGTGGCCCCTGACAATACTCAACGCGTGAAAACACTCCCCCACCATCAACGTCGTGCTGTCAAACTCCCCAATGGTTTCAGATGTGTGGCGGCCCTCACACTGATGTCTTATTGGCGAAAGTGGGCCCCCCTCTGAAAATTAGTGAAGAACACTGCCTTAATGAGTGGACTACTGAGTCGTCTTACCCAAATATCTATGTTTGTATGTATGTTGAACTTCTTTCGCACCGTACCTATCCAACCGTGCTAATCGGAGGTGCGGGGGAAGTCCAACAAACTGAACACAAAACGCAGTTCTCAAGAAATGAGCATGATGTTTCCTTCCCAGGCTACTCCAGTTTCCTCCCACATGCAAAAACACGCCGTAACAACACCCGCCCACGCAAAAAAATTCGTTGCCGTTTGATGCCTCTCAATGGGTTCATTTTTATCTCCTGGCTAAATAATGAATACAAAAAACAACAACAAGTGGCAATTGGGCCAAACAATGCCTCTGCAGAACTCTGACGAACACTAGCCTTGAGACTCGGTGAGGCACCCCCTGTATAAGCGAACGAAATTTATTTAATTGGTGCATGTAACCGGAGTAAATCATGATGAGGTTTGACAGCATAATGCATGGGAATAGAAAAAATAATCCTTCCCAAGTGTTGATGAATTACCACAACTTGGCGTCCTGATTTGATTCCAGATTCCATTCTCTTTTGTGCTGTCACGTGTGTGTGCCCTCTTGTCTCGCTGGAACTGCGTGCACTTTACACTCGCCCATGCTTCCTCGCCAGTGGCGTCTCCCTCGTGTGTGCTGTCTGTCGCGTTTACGCTGCACGTTGTACTGGCTCATTGGGCTGTTTTTGTTTGTATAACCTACGTCTGTCTCATTCGTTCCAACCCTTTGACCAGAAAAAAATTATAACGACGCGTGTGCATCGATGCACGCAGCCGTAAGAATTATTATAATCTGTTTGAATTAAAGGATCATTACTCGCCCAATATGCTTAAAAATGGAAACGTACTTAGAATTAAGGTGCGGGAGCGGTGGCACGGTGGTTAGCACACTAGGGTATGAACCCGGCAAACTGAGTTCGATTCCTGGTCACGGCTAACACCAGTGGCACGTTCGCCAATCCGCATTTACCAGGGGTGGTGATGTATGGTCAAATAAACCTCCCACAATAACCCGGCAACCAAAAATTTGATTCCTGGCCACGGCTGACGTCAATGGGAAGTGATATCTGAGCCAGTCTTGCCAATCCTGCCACCCCTTCAACCAACCCGCACCGACCCGCGTGGTGAAGTATGGCCGTCACAGCTCACACGGTGTGGCGGTGCCTTCATCCACCAGTGGAGTAACATGTCTGTTAATTGTAGTTATTATTTTAAAAATGTGTTCCCTTCACTAACTCGACCTGGCCAGGGTGGTGAAGAATGATTAACCCCCCCCCCCCCTGCCATAGCCAACGCTCCAAAACCACGGCCCCCCCCAGCAGCTTTGGAGCCACCAGCCATGGCGTCTCTGTGTTAGCCGTTGTGGGTCTCTGTGTTAGCCTGTGTGGGTCTCTGTGTTAGCCTGTGTGGGTCTCTGTGTTAGTCTGTGTGGGTCTCTGTGTTAGCCTGTGTGGGTCTCTGTGTTAGCCTGTGTGGGTCTCTGTGTTAGCCTGTGTGGGTCTCTGTGTTAGCCTGTGTGGGTCTCTGTGTTAGCCTGTGTGGGTCTCTGTGTTAGCCTGTGTGGGTCTCTGTGTTAGCCTGTGTGGGTCTCTGTGTTAGCCTGTGTGGGTCTCTGTGTTAGCCTGTGTGGGTCTCTGTGTTAGCCTGTGTGGGTCTCTGTGTTTGCCTGTGTGGGTCTCTGTGTTAGCCTGTGTGGGTCTCTGTGTTAGCCTGTGTGGGTCTCTGTGTTAGCCTGTGTGGGTCTCTGTTTTAGCCTGTGTGGGTCTCTGTGTTAGCCTGTGTGGGTCTCTGTGTTAGCCTGTGTGGGTCTCTGTGTTAGCCTGTGTGGGTCTGTGTGTTAGCCTGTGTGGGTCTCTGTGTTAGCCTGTGTGGGTCTCTGTGTTAGCCTGTGTGGGTCTCTGTGTTAGCCTGTGTGGGTCTCTGTTTTAGCCTGTGTGGGTCTCTGTGTGAGTTTGGGGGTCTCTGTGCGAGTTTGTGAGTTCCTCTGTGAGGATATGGGACTCTGCGTGAGTCTGTGGGTCTCTCTGTGCGTCTGTGGGTCACTTTGTGAGTCTATGGGTCCCTGTGTGAGTCTGTGGGTCTCCGTGTGAGTCTGTGGGTCTCCGTGTGAGTCTGTGGGTCTCTACGTGGCGTCGGTTGGGTAGGTGAAGGAGCAGGGGCTTCTGAAAGTCACCAGGTACCAATGGGGGACCCCTTATGGTTGTATACATCACTACGCCACACTCAGCGTAGGTGGGCTAGGGCAGGACACGTCGCTGGAAGGGGCGGTGGACGATGGTCAAGAATAATAAACGGAGTGGCAGCCAATGAATTAGATAACGTCCACTGAGGAGATGGAGCAATGGGATCGCAGGATCGTGAGAGGTGGCGGTGGCTTGGGGAGGACTTCATCCTTGTCTCGTGGTGATGGTGGCGATGGTGGTGGTGGTCATAGGTAGGGTGTTGGTGCCCACTGTGCGAGTTCAACCCCCACGAAGCTTGGAGAGCTGAATGAAGTTCAAAAGAAACTCACAAACACTATTGAAAGACCCAACGCAGAAGATCCCTGGGTGTGATCCTCCACGAAGCTCATGGTCCACTCTAAAACCGCATCCGCACAAACCATAACAGATACGGATACCTGATGCACGAATGGACAATTAAAAAAAAACCTCTCCAGTAGTGTGCTACTGTGGTCATCCAGAACAGACCGAACAACGTATAATGACGCAATGCCCGATCCACAAATACGAAGGAGACATCACAGCGACGATTCACTCCGTTTGCTCCTGATGCGGTAGTCTGGCTTGACCACCTGAATGTGAAATTGAAGTTTGTTCCTCTGCCATCGACATCAGCCGTACGGAAGAAGAATAATTGGAGTGGTTTCCAGTGGGAATTTCCTGACCGGTCACGTGGCACCGCCACGACCCCGCTTTCATACCCATGTCTCGTGGTTGATGGCGATCATGGTGATGATGGTCGTAAGGTCGCGTGTTGGTGCCCAGTGATCGTGAACGCGTGTCTCCCTGTGGCCGCCAGGGGGCAGGAGGTAACCGTGGACGTGGAGTACGAGACTGCGCCGGGTGCCTCGGCCCTGCAGTGGCTCACGCCCGAGCAGACCGCGGGGAAGCAGCACCCCTACCTGTTCAGCCAGTGCCAGGTGTGGTGCACACACACACATACTCGAACGCACGCACGCACGCACACACTCGCACGCACACACTCGCACACACACACACACTCGCACGCACACACACGCTCACTCGCACACACACACACACTCGCACGCTCGCACACACTCGCACGCACACATGCACGCACACTTGCACGCACGCACGCGTGTGGAGGTACACGTGTGTGTGCTCGTTCTCGTGTGGGCAGCGGCGGTATAAAGGTGAGCGCGCAGTGCTACGAACATTGCCACTCGAGTTTGATTCCTGCTCGCAGCCAACACCAGTGACGGTACTGAACCCGTCCTGGGTGCCTCCCCTAGGTCGACTCAGCTTCAAATGAGTACCTGGTGCGATGTGTAAATGTTCCCTTTGGTGAGACAAAGGCAGCCGGGCGTGGTGCTGGCCACCCACCTCCTCGTCAGGGGCGGAGCCACAGGGGGGTCTGGGGGGGGCTCAGACCCCCCTGAAAATTTGGGAAAGTCGGCAATCGGGATAACCAGATATCCGGCTGCTGCAAAATGCTGCAGGCTGCCACCTTGTGTGCTGCCCTGCAGGCTGCCACCTTGTGTGCTGCCCTGCAGGCTACCACCTTGTGTGCTGCCCTGCAGGCTGCCACCTTGTGTGCTGCCCTGCAGGCTGCCACCTTGTGTGCTGCCCTGCAGGCTGCCACCTTGTGCTGCCTTGCAGGCTGCCACCTTGTGTGCTGCCCTGCAGGCTGCCACCTTGTGTGCTGCCCTGCAGGCTGCCACCTTGTGCTGCCCTGCAGGCTACCACCTTGTGCTGCCCTGCAGGCTGCCACCTTGTGTGCTGCCCTGCAGGCTGCTACAGCGGCAGCCTTTCGAACTTATTGAACTTATTAGCCACATCAGCGGCTCCGACCTATTAATAAACTCCACGTTCAAATCCAATAAAATGTGTTTTATACATTTGTGGTGCCCATTGGAAAACATAAACACTGGATATCTCAGAATATTGAAGTCAGCCTCCCCCAAAGTCAAAATCCTGGCTCCGCCCCTGCTCCTCGTGTGCCGTGCCGGCCTTCATTGGTGCTGCTCGCTAACAGCGGATTGATGGAGACTCTTGAAGACGAGTAGGGAAATAATTTGTTTACGATCCTATGCATAATTTATGCACAGTATATACACGCGTTGTACCTGGTATTGGACAAAATATCTGAATGCTGAAAGATTACCTGCAAATTACTCACTTTCGATTACGCAGAGCAGCAGCAATATCATCCCCCCTGCATTCTGAAAATAATCTTGGGGCTCAGGGAGGCTTTCCTGGAATAAACAAGCATCATAATAACAACAATAACACTACTGGGCAGATGGAGGTGGGGTAATGATTGGAGTTAATTATCCTTTCATCGTCTTGATTCTGGGCAAAAAGGTTCCAAGAAACAGAGAGGTGGGGTAATTGAATAAACCTGCTCGTTGTTTCAACCGCTTGACCAACAGGTGTCTTGAAGTTGGTTATTCCCCACCCCCCGCACCTCCGATTAGCACGGTTGGCTACGTACGGTGCGAAAGAAACTCAACATACACACATGTATGCATCGTTTTATTTCTTGCCCTTCTCCCGCACCTCCAATTGGCTCGTTTGGCTATTTACAGTGCTAAAGAACTTCAACATGCATACATTGTTTTGTTTGATGTCCTTCCCCCGCACCTCTGATTGGGATGGTTTTCTTGCTTACGGTGCTAAAGAAGTTCAACATACACACATTACGAACCTGCCGCATTACCTGAACCTGTCGCGCGTTTATACGCAAGTCTGACTCGTTGAACTCGTAGGGAACGTTCCAGGCCAGCGACCCGAACGTTCGACGTTCTGGTACCAGTGCGTGTAAGAAGCAGAGGCCGAGCAGAAGCTTCTTCCAGGCAAACAACAGGGCGCATTTGCAAAACACATGCCTCCGATTTGCGCGGTTGGCTACGTACAGCGTGAAAGAAGTTCAAAATATATAACATTTATGGAACCAGCAACTTATGGATTGCAAGTTCAGCGTGATACCCATTATTTAAAGAGGAATAGGACGATGCATCTCCTTTGGTGGCCTTGAACCAGTGGTGGAAATTCCACATTCCCATTGCAACCAGGATAAACTTCATCTAAACTAAACTATTTTTTATTTTACCAGGTTAAGCTCACTGAGCTATATGTATCTCTTTTTCAGAAGTGATATGGCCACAAATGATAGCTCAACAAAGTGGCTTGTCATGTAGAAATGAAGAGCAGCCGAATACTCTCCACGCATGCTGATTCTAAATGTGGAGGGAAAACCCGGAGCATCCGGAGAAAAATCTACGCGACCACAGGGAGGGCATACTAACTCCAAATATGTGGGCGTCAGGGTCGGGATCGAACTCATGACCTCCTGAATACCAGGCGAGGTAGTTAACATCTCGCCACCGTGGCATCCCGGAGAGATCAGGAGCTGCGTAAAGTCCAGACTGGGATTTGAACCCACGATGTATTTATTTATAATTTGCCCCATTGCGTGTACGAGTGGTAGCACGTGCCTGTGATCCAGCTCTGTGCATACGAGGGGTTGGCGGATCACACAAATGTTCCAAAACTCCCTTCCAGTCGCCATTGAGGAGTCTCACGTAACCTGGCTTGCCAGGAGAAGGCAGTACAGCAGAAAATGGTGCCAACCTCTTTAACTTGGTCTGTCCTTTGGCCGCCTTTTCATTACCCGCCGCAGCCTTCATCCAGCAGTGTGTTGGAGTTATTATTTTTCATGATGGGCATTGACAAGACTGAGCGGTAACGTACTTGCCGCTTGTGACACAGAAGAGCCCAGCGGCTTCCCTGGTCAATGACTGCGGCTGTATTAACTGTGACATAGGCACCATCCGTAAAAAAATCCCGTGACGTTATTTCAACGATAGGAGTCCATGCGTGCCAACGCCACGCTCCAAATTGCCACCACAAACTGCTTAATCTGGTCAAAGTCACGTAGCAACATTGCCCACCTAGTAGAGGCAGGCTACACTCGCGTGTATACCATTGCTCGCTCGTACGTGAGAATGGCGCAAATAAGCCGGCGCACTCGTGGCTTGATTTGACGCGTCACTGCGACGGAGCGACGCCGCTGTTTTGGGGAGAGCATCTCTTCGTGATCTGTCACACGGAAAAAAAAAAACCAGACGTCATTGCCCTCGCGGCTCACGGTGTGAAATGCAATATCCCAGATCGTAAAGAGTCTTCCATCCAGGGCAGTCACAGCTGTTTGGACTATGCGATCAGCTGTTTGCAACCTTCCTAAATATACTCGGACTCATATAAAATGCAAAGTGCGTCGAAACTGGGACGAGACTGCAGTTGCTGCCAAACGTCTTGTTTCCTTATACAACCCCTGGTTCGACAGGAGCCAGGGGGAGCGCAGTGGAATAATTTCAACTTCACACGCGCTACAACCCCGCCTGATGGACTCCTCACTTGAACACCACTGCAGTGGCCTGGCATTTCTTTGCATATTGACTTCTACGCTTAATTTGTGCTTGCTGAACATCTTTACGGGAAGAGTTTGGCGGGTGACCACCAGGGGTCAAGGCGCACCCGAGCCGATTCTGCTGGGATTCCGGGCGTTTGAATCTGGGCGGCCACTCGCGATCTCTCCTTTCGTATGGATGTTGATATCAGAATCCGAATATTTATTTACACTGGGGGAATCCGATGAGCTATAAAGCTCTTTTTTTTTACAGACGTCCAGTAGGGGCGGGTAAGAACATTACAACAGCAAACAAGATATGAAACATGATAGTAGTGCAAAGTACAAGAAAGGTTAACAAATCACACAAACACAAAAACATTAAACTAAACCATCCTCATGCTATCAGGCAAAGCCCGCCGAGGTATGAACTTATTTTTCAAAAGTGAGCTGGCCACAAATGAGAACTCAACAAAGTGGCCAAACATTTGGACATTTATACCACCAAAAGAATCTAAATAATCTCAATGCATGTTTCTAAATGATGTAGATGCAGAGCAACAACGAGAATTTCACATTCAGGTGGTCAAGCCAGACAATCGCATCAGGAGCAGCGGAGTGAATCATCGCTGTGATGTCTCCTTCATGTTTGTGGATTGGACAATTACGTTGCTATACATTGAATAGTCTGTTCTGAATGACCACAGTTGTACACTACTGGAGAGTTTTAAATGTAACATTTGTAAGGTAACCGCATCTGCCATGGTTTGTGCGGATGCAGTTTAGGGTGGACCATGAGCTTCGTGGAAGATCTAACCCAGGGATTTTCTGCATTGGGTCTTTCACAGGCCTTATCGGGTTCTCCGCGTGCAGTGCGTCTACGGCCTCAGCCCGGTCACCGTTTGACTACACGAAAAAAATAAACAAACCACATTTATACTTACGTGATCTAACCTAAAAAGCATCACAATAAATTAGCTTCTTCTATTTAGTCAAATATTCAGCATCTGTCCGAATGCAAAAACAAAGTTTTCTGATTCGTAGTAAGTTTTCTTTTGGGTCCGATTGTCTAGGTGTAACCCTCCACCACCCGACAGAGCCAATAAAATCAAGTTGTCATGTAGGAAGCTATGTGGTTTATCTGCAAAAGTTTAGATTCGACCGTCATGCGATGGAAATCTCTATGGCAGCGCGCTTTGGGACAATGCAACTCCTGAAGTGCGGAAATAGAGGTTACTGGAATAGACCTCAGAAGTGGTTCTGGGAAATCACCTTCCACGGGCCGTTATCCAACATGTGGCGATGCACCGATGTGGGAGAGTTCTCAATGGACGCCTCGTCTCATGACATGATGCCATTTCCCAAATGTGTTGAATGCAGACAGTGCGCGGTACGACCCGAAAACACGTCGGGGAGCGAGCGCGACGAGCACGGTTTGAGCTGCTGCCAGTGCTCGCCGCGTGAGTGCTTGTGCGCAGGCGTGCCTGGAATTCCATTCCGGGCCCTCTCCGTGGCCCTTTCCCACATTAGAGCCGCTATTCTTAGGTG